CAGCCACCAAGAATTTAGCTTTTTTTTTTTTTTTTTCTGACTGACTATGGGGTTATGGGGTATTTGTGACTTTTGGATGTGGTGCTTGGAGGGGACATTGAGGTCTTGCAAGTAGCTGATGGGAATTTTCTTTAGGCCCCTGGGAAAGAAAAAGGAAGTTGTAATCAAGGAAAAAAGAGGAAGTGGCCATATGAGTAAGTATCCCTGGTTTCACCTTCTTCCACCTTGAACTACCACCATGAGGTCCTGTAATTGTTTCTAGGGCAAAACTCTTTGAAGTACATGCTTCGGTTTGAAGGAAGAAATCAAAACAAAGAATTTTTGCTATCTGTCTTCCTCCACAGCTGGTAGTAAACCATTCATAAGAAATATTTTGAGTCATTTCCTTAATGCATTGTAGATACTGTGACCAAATTACAGATCAGAAAAAGAAGCAGCACTTAAAGGCAGGGGTAAAGGCCTTCAATGCAAGTATTCCTGCCAAGGTGAGTTCAACATTGTGTAATACAAACTACTACTGTTTTCTCTGACTTCAAGAAAGAGAAAAGTTTATACTAATATTGCTATAGCGGAATGAATCTCCTGGTCTACTATGTCTTATATGAGTTTTTGTTCTCTAAGGTCAAAGAATGAATTTTAGGAACAGCAGAGATTAAGAGAAGAATATACTTATTGAGAGAAAAAAAAGCTGCCTGAGAGAGAGATGGAGTCCTTTGCAGATTGCCAAACACTGTCCTTTCTAGGGACCTTTATAGAGTAAAATCATGTGGTGAAATGAGTTTAAGGTGGGGAAAACTAGGAACTCACAATGCAGAAGGGCATAAATGGGACAGAGCTATGGTAGCCAATAAGTTCATGTAAAGTTGATTAAATTGGAAACAAAGGGGGAAGGGAGTCACATAGAAAGCAGGCATTCTTAGGCAGCAGTGACTTCCCTTAGGGGTTTGGAAGGTAACTACTGAGGTCATCAGGATGGGAGGAACTATTTAGAATGTCAGTCTTTAGGATAAATATACATTTCTTTGAATGGTGACTCCTGACTTCCTCAGAGTTCTAGGGAGCTATTTAGAATATCAATCCTTAGGATATGGAGGAATTTGCTTATCCTTTGTCTTCAGCCTTGACCCATAGCATGAGGTGTCAGTCTTGCCCATAGTTGCAAGCTATCTGGTCTCCTGAATGGGCTCCTTGGGGGACCTACCTCTGTCTCATGCCAATAGTATTTAAATAACTCAGGTGCCTGTAACAGTACTGTTTGGAAAATTGATTACAGATGTGTTGGGCTCTGGGTGAATGATCTGGGATGACAATGCGCAATGTATATACCAGTGTTGCCCCCTGATTCACATATTTTGAAATTTAATTTTAGTTGATGTGTTGTTTTTTCCTTGAAATAAAATGGATTTGAAAGTTAAAAGCATGAGGTAAAGCTCTTTAATACAAACACTCCTCTGTCGAGCTGAGTTCACCACTGTAGAAGAATGGCAGCTCCAGAAGCCTCTGCACTACAGTCTACCATTTGGGATCCTCTCTTGCAGGGAGGAGTTCCTTTCTCTGTTTATTCTTGACTCAGAAAGAGGGCAGTAGAGCAGGAGTCAATCAGTGATGAAGGGGCAGGCTATATGAACTGTCCAATCTGGTGGACCATTGCTGGCTGTGACTTCTGTCTCTTCCCATGTCTCAGCATGATTTACCTGTTCTGAGTGCAATAGTGGTAGCAAAATGCTTGCTGGATCTCATGTAGTACTTTTGATGTCCTGTGGCCTGATTAGCAAAGAACCTGAGAGACCCTGGAGCCATGGAATGGTGAGGTTGTGCATGGGAGCCCAGAGATAGGGTGGATTCGGTGAAACCAGTTAGAAATATTTAGGAGTAGTTGTGGTGTCTGGAGCCTCAAGTATTTAGTTAGCTTCAGCTCCTGAGGTCCTCCAGCATTGCCCTTGGGTCATTCACTGTCCCTTTTGCCTCTTGCTGTTGGCAAGGGTGATTTGGGGTCCCCAGAATCCTAGCTTCACTATGACAGCAGTAGACTCAAGTATCATCTTTGAAATTCACTGCTGGCCTGGTAACTCCACAATCTTAGGCATTGGAAGGAGCTTGGAAAGACCCTGACTATGATGCTTTTTGTAGCTTGTAGAGCAGTAATGAGCTAGGTCTATGCTCTCTTTCCTCAGAGTAGCAGATCTGGAAAGTCCAAAGTTTATTAATGACTGTAATGCAGGGCCTCATAGCCACAATGACTCAACTTAAACTTGGGCTTTTTTGTATTTATAGTGATCTTCTCAATTTATAGTATGTTCTCATATTTCCATCCTCATGACAGGTAGTGACAAAGGTCCTGAGAATTCATAGATGTGTAGTAGTGTGCCTCAGTGGAGAAAGGCTTCCCAAACAAATCATGAACTGTGTATTATACAGATCAGTGCAAAATAATTTCTGAGCATACTTAATTATTTAGGTGGCATCCTTGCTCACAGACTAGGTTTGTGAGAACAGCCATAGAGTTTTGAAGTCTGACAAAAATGAAGCAAATATGAAAGTGTTATCAAGGATAGGGTAAAAATTTGTGAAGGACAAATTCCAGAAAGGGCTACCTGTTAAATTCTCATCGAAAAATGCTGAAATTTAGGCATTTGCATGGACATATACACGTGATATCCTTCTGAATGGAAAGGAATAGGCGTGTCATCTCTGAATTAAGAGCTGATTTAGTGGCTTGTTTGGTCATAGACAGTTTAAATATGGAAATGCTCTGCAATGGACTTTATTAAGTGGTGTAAAGGAGAAGCTCTAAACAAATTTTGCAGTGATATCAATAGTTAGGCATGAAGAGTTTTCTGCTTAGGATGGATCAGAGGAGTGTGGAAAGGATGTGCAAGTGACTGACAGGATGCAGGAAGCCTATAGCAGGACATACAACAAAGAGGGTCTTCACTGAAAGTCAGGTTGTTCTTAGAGTAAGTGTGAAGTTAAAGTTGAGTTCTCATTGCTTCCTTGAGGTGATCAACACAAGCTCTGGCAACAATCAGTATTTCACATCCCTATCAATCCATGAATTTTGTGTTCCATACTTGAGATCTAATTTGGATTATCTCTAATTATGCCCCAGTGTCATGAAGGTAAAATTTGGATTTTTTTTGTACCAAGGATCGAACTCATGACCTATGCTTTCCAGGCAGGTGTTCATGCCACTGAGATAAATACCCAACTGTGAAAGTGTTTTCTTTGTTGCATGGAAAATATCCACATTGTATCTCAGAAAGTGTTGAATATTGTTGGAATTTTTGCATATTATATGGTTATAATTTTTAAAAACAAACCAAAGTTCTCTTATGCTTTCACTTTGTCTGTGGAGTGTCTCAGTCAGGGTTTCTCTATTTTACACAGCTCTGTAACTTAGGATAGCCCCAAATTCAAGGAAGAACTCCTTCACCAGCCTCCCAAGATACATTTCTTATATCTGAATTGAAAGTGATCGCTTCGTGACAGTGAGCTATAAATTACAGCTTGGGCCTGGTTCCATTTTATATACTTATTTTTTAAAAACAGCATTTTCCACTAACATTTGAGTTATTATTTGTGTACCATATTGGGTGTTATTTATGTTTTGTTCTATGAAACCAAATTCATGTTTCAAAATGCTGCTGAAGTATATTAAGAACAAAGTACTCACTGGCCTGAATGAGATTTGAAGAGACATTATCTGCAGCCTATCAAAGTGATTGATGAGATTTTTTTTCTTTTTTTAAATTTTGAAAGTGGTAAAATGCAACAGAACAACACAGAATAAGGCCAACTATGATTGTACAGTGAAATTGGTACAGAACTTCACAACAGGTTACTGGGATAACAGTAATAGGTATCACAGTATGTTTTATTATCTTTATAATAGTTGTTCTTTCAAACACATATATCAAAATGAGATGAAATACAGAACATTATAGTACTTATCAAAACAGAATATTGAATAGAGCAATACCATTAATCAGAATAGACCAAAACAGTAATAAAAATATTTGCCTTCAAAGAAATAGTAGAAATAAGTCCCCCTTATTTGTTATGTTCAGCTTCCCAGGAGATGCTCAGATTTCTGGTTCCCATTTGCTAATGGGGTGGGGGGTGACAGGAGAAGAGGGGTAGGGAAGTGGGATGTTTGATTCTAGGCCGTGCATCCAGTAGGTTCACTAATGCTTAGTAGGGAGACAGGCTGGTTGTTTGGTTTCACAGTGCCCTAAGTTCCCACATGGTGTGGAGCTCAGGACTTGCTGCTGGTCCTCCCCCTGGAAGGGCCACAATCTGCCAGACTGCCACCAGTTACCAGGGAGAAGTGGTGCTTGCTTGCCTTCCAAGTGTCCTAAATTCCAACGTTGCACGGATCTCAGGAGCTGCTGCTGGTTTGCACCCTGGATGGGCCACAGTCTGCCACATTGCCACCACTTACTAGGGAAGGGAGGTGCTTGCTTGGCTTCCTAGTTGATTGATGGGATATTTATTTAACTCTGTGCTTTGTGGATGCTGGTCCTGCAGGCTTCTCACTGTGAGCTCTGCATTAGAGACAGTACACAGGGAATATTACAGTGACTCAGCACAAGAATCAGTGCTCCTATTTCACTGTTACATTAGCAGTGAGTTACAATCTATCATCAAATTTGCTGTCTTCAAAAATGTGTATATTCACAAAATTAATGACCAAGACATGGATTTAAATTTGAATAAATCAGTCTTCATTCAGCTGTTTTGTTTGGTTGTATTTGTTTAATTTTGTTTTGTTTTATTGAAACAAGCTTTCTGTATGTATACCCGCTGGATTTCAACACCCTATGAAGCCTAGAATTGCCCTGAACTCACTGAAACCATCCTGCCTCAGCCTTTTGAGTGCTGGCATTATAGATATATACCACCACACTTTGCTTTTGATTCAGATTTGTAGGAGATAATTTAAGATATCACAAACCTGGTGTCTCAACCTTCATGTGAGAAATATATGTATGATCCTTTAGGAGGTGGTGACCCTTGAGGATGTGGTTGTGAACTTCAGCAATGAGGAGTGGACTTTGCTGAGTCCATCCCAAAAGAACCTCTACAGAGATGTGATGGGTGAAACCTTTAGGAACATGGCTGCAATAGGTAAGAATGAAATACTTTTGTCACTCATGCTGTCAGAATGTTGTGTGTCGCTCATCAGTGCTGTTTCATTAAAATCAATGTGAATATATTTTTAAAAATAGCTCAGACCTGAACACATTATATCATAAATCTAAACAAAATCTATTAATTTGTATGTATTATTCTAATGAGCGCTGGTATTTCTATGTCTACAATTCAGGAGGACTTGGGGATATCCAGGAAGCTGAAAAACAATGCAAGATTTACTGGAGATACTTAAGGTAAGTTGCACTCACAAGGAGAAGGAATATTCCTGAGTTATTAGTGAAGAAAGAAGAAGAAAAGTGACCACTAAAGAAATGAGGTACCATTCAATTTACTGCCAGTAATATTCTCCCAAGGTGTATAAGCTACGGTATGTATAATGAGTGAATTAAATCATGAAAATGTATATCATTGCATATAGATGTGTACAAAAGGCACACACTTTGAGTTATGACATTCTCCCTTCAGTTTTTCTACCCATGTATACATTTGAATATAACACATTCATTATCTAAAAATTGCTGTTTGCAATAGAATTTGAAATAAAACAGACTGCTTGTGTTTCCAAGCCATGCTCTAGAGAATCAGCCACTCTGATTAAAATTCTAAGTAGGCTGGCAGAATGTTAAGTGCATTCATTCTGAATAAAAGTATGCAGTTATCTCTAGAAGTTGATCCCACCACACTTGTTCTGGATAAGTTTTTAAAAATTCAAAATCTGCATAAAATACTGATACATGCTTAATCATATACAAAGCAGATCAAGTTATAATAGATCAGGCCTTGAAGAATCTTAGCTATCTATCACTGGATTTGTGGAGAGGGAAAATGTTAATAGACCCTCTGTGGTTGTGCATTCTTGTAAATCCAGCACACTAGGAATCAGATTTTGCAGAATGGCAAATTCAAGTTCAAACTTCACAGCTTAATAATCAGTGAAAATCTCTTAAAACAGATTTTAAAAAGCTATAGATTTTATGCTAATAGCTGTTGTTCATTCCCAGCATGGAAAAGAAAAAAAAATGTGTTAAATAATGTCAAAAAATAAATAATATAATGTCATTTGCCATAAGAAATTGATGGGGCTTTCTCCCATCAATTCGGTGAAATAGCTCAGTTATAAAACCTAAAAGGTCACAGGGTTTCTTTTAGATGCGAAACCAAAATATGAATTGTGGAATGAAATGAAAGAGAGTTAATAGAGAAAAGTAAGATGAACCATATGGAAAAGGGAACTATAGGTTAAGGACAGAAGGGAGATTGTGATGGGGAATCATATCACAATGATCTCTATGTGATACACATATATACCCATGCCCAAAGTGAAGCTAAATATTCTGCATTTCAAAAGGTACCAAATTCTAAGATTTCCAAATGTGTACCAGTCTTTTGGGAATGGTTGTTTTCAACATATCTTACAAGGCCATTCTGTTGCTTCATGGTGAGAATTTCTGAGCAGCCATTAAAAACAGCACTTGACATTAATGCAGTCATTAAACTGAGACCCATTTCACTGTGAATTTTTCTGTTTTTATTTAATATAAGGAAACACAAAGAAACACAAAATAAGTAAATAATACCACTTTCAAAGTGAAAATAAACAGTAAGAAATCTAAAGACAATGATTACATATGCTGCTCATAGAAATAGTTAATGAAATACAAAAGTGAAACATATGAAGTGGGGATTCAAACAGTGAGACTGCAAACAGTTTTGTTCAACTCTTCAATAAAAACTAAGTAATAAGGTTATCAATCCAATATGTGATATTTTTCTTTACAGAAATGAAAAGCTAGAGAAACCCTATGGACATACATCTTGGAGTCAGTGTAAAGAAGTATTCCTTGGTACTGCAGAAGGTAATGTGAATGTGAAAGAAGCAGAAACACACCACAATGTTCAGATCCATAAAAAATATTGCAGTGGAGAGAAATCCTATGTATGTCAGCAATGTGGAAAAGGTTTCACCACATCTGGACATTGTAAGCAACATGAAAGAATTCACACTCAAGAGAAACCATATGTATGTGAGCAATGTGGGAAAGCTTTTAACGCACGTGCATATTGTAAGGTTCATGTAAGAATTCACACTGGAGTGAAACCATATGTATGTAAGCAATGTGGGAAAGCTTTTAACACACAGGCAGATTGTAAAAAACATGAAAGTATTCACACTGGAGAAAAACCCTATGTACATAAGCAATGTGGGAAAGCTTTTACCACACGGGGAGATTTTAAGAAACATGAAAGAATTCACACTGGGAGAGAAACCCTATGTATGTAAGCAATGTGGGAAAGGTTTTACCATCTCTGGACATTGTAAGCAACATGAAAGAAATCACACTGGCGAGAAACCATATGTATGTAAGCAATGTGGGAAAGCTTTTAACACACGGGGAGATTGTAAGAAACATGAAAGAATTCACACGGGAGAGAAACCTTATATATGTAAGCAATGTGGAAAATATTTTACCAATTCTGAAAATTGTAAACAACATGAAACAGTTCACACTGGAGAGAAACCATATGTATAAGCAATGTGGGAACGTTTTTACCTTATATGGACATTGTAAACAACATGAAAGTTCACACTCAAGATAAAACCAGTGTATATAAGCATCATGAGAATGGTTTGAGCACACATACTTATCGCATAATGCGTGAAAAACTTCACACTGGGCAGAAAACTTATATAGGTAAGGAATTTGCGAAAGGTATCAGCAGAAATGCTCATTGTCCAATTCATTATAAAATTTACACTGTTGAGAAAGCCTGTGTATGTGAAGAATGTGGGAAAGCTTTCACCACACATGGATACTGTAAAATACATCAATGACTTCACACTGGTGAGAAACCCTATGTATATAACAATGTGGCAGAGGTTTTACCACATACAGTCATTGCAAAACACATGAAAGAATTCACATTGGGAAGAACCACTGGCTATGTAAGCAACTGGAGACACTTTTAGCAGCCAGATTGTAAGTGAAATACATGAAGAAACTCACACAAGAGATAAATCCTATGTGCTATGGGAATACTCTCAGCATACATGATCATTGTTACCTATCTGAAAGAGCTCACTGGGCAGAGATCCTATGTGTATTAACAATGTGAGAAATATGGCAATCCATGTTTGTTGTTAAATACATAGAAAAAGCATCAGTCTTCAGACAATTTAAATCTAAGTTTACTTTAAAAATCCCAAGGAGACATTAAGAGATAACCAATACAGAAGTTTGATGTCAATATTTCTTCACAAATTTTCCAGAAATGACAAATCTGAGGTGGAGCTCTACTCAAGTGCACATGTTGTATGGTTTTCAGTTAACCACTTGTACCTCTTTAGATTTTTTAAAATGTCTTTGTGCTTCAACATGGCATCTTGTAATTAAGCATGGTAAACTGAAATGGGCTGTTAACTTTCAAGTATGGATAGTGTCTATGTACTTAATATTTTGTCTTTAAAATTGAATTTTTATATTTTGTCGTAAATTGTAATGTTTATTTAAAGAAAAAAAGCAGAAAAAATGTAGAAATAATACAGAATTTCAGAAAAATAAGAAATCACTAGTTGATTAGTTACATATTTTCATCTTAGAAGTAGTTGTTCAAGTTACAAATTAAAGCATACAAAGTGCTATTCAAACAATGACACTGCGAACAGTTCACCTCAATGATCCAACAAAGACTTATTAATATGCTTACTGTCCTACAAACTTGTTTTTTTTTCTTTTCTTAAGAAGGGTAAGATTAAACATGATAAAACAGAGCAGAACAGTTCATAAGAAAACAAGTTAAGGAAACACAGATTTCAAAGCACGTCCACTGGAGATGTTCACTGTCTATCTTACTGTCTCTAGTTTTCTTCCAAATAGTTGTTCCCATTTAGAATGCATTGAATATATACTGAATATTATAGAACTAATCAAATAATTACAGGATGATGCAGGCTTTTTTGATCTTCAAGACAGATTTTGGGGAAATCGATAATGACTACCATAATGTCTCTCATTCTCTTCATAGTAGCTGTCTTTATCTTTATGTATGCTGAAATTGAACATAAGAGACTAGACTAATATCACTCTGAACAGTGAATAATAGTATCCTGAGAAGGAGAAAGGTGAGGAATTGCCTTAAAAAAGAAGGCAGACGGCATTGTTAAAAGTGTATCAGGATGTAAAAGCTACAGTAGTCTTATTGCTCTGGTTAGTTTGATTATATTTTGTTCTGGTCTGTCTACTCATATTAGATTTGAGGGCACAGAAAGATAACCTGAAAATAGCAGGTTATACCATGGTAACTATCCTTAATTACCTGTTAACTTAAACTGAAACTCTGTATTACTTACATTGTCTTCTATGACTGATCTTTGAAGCTGGTTTGTTTGAATGTTATTTGGCCTTGACTGATTTTATTCACATTTGGTATGCTTGCTGGTATCAAGTTCAAGAGTAGAGCCAACTAATCTGAAGGTGACAGGATGTAAAAGATGTACTTTGGGGGGCTGGGGATTTAGCTCAGTGGGTTAAGAACCTACCTGGCAAATGTGAGGTCATGAGTTTTATCTCCAGTAACAAATATAAATTAATAAAAGATATCCATTCCAGTCTTGATTATGTTTATATTTAAAGAGAAAAAAGAAAGGAAATAAAAAACAAAGCAGAAAACATGTATAAATAATACAGAATTTCAAGAGAAATAGTACAATAAGAAATCACTAGTTAATAGGTTACATATTTTCATCTTAGAAACAGTTGTCCAAATTATACAATTAAAGCATATAAAGTTGAGAACATGGCGGACAGACAACAGCAACTACTGGAGGCTCTCTGAAAGGCTCGGCTCAGAGGCCAGGAATGATGCGGACTAAGGAGACATGAACCGGTAGAGATATGCTCTGCTGACTCAGGAACGAACTGGGCTGAGAGAAACCAACTTAGAATACAGTCCTGGCGCTAAAATAGGAACAGAAAGGACTCGGTGTGGAGGCTCGACCCCGCGCCATTGGAAACCGCGATTTGGGTTTCCCGCCGCCTGGCAGCTGGTTGCCTCCACTGCGGCTCGGCAAGGAGAGATGCGCAGAAGCTCTGGGAATGGGAGTCTGCAAACGGAGTCGAAGACAGGACGGACAAGGAGGCGTACACGAAAACTGACTGGTGGCGAGGTGAGTGAGAGAAACTGACCCCCTACCACAGTTTGACTCCAGCGGAGGACTTTCTGGGCTCGGGCAGTCCTGTAAGAGCAGGGCGCGGTGGCGACTCCAGCCACACATTCCCCTCTCGGACGGGATTGGTGAAAAGTGCCTGGCAACAACGCTGTGGGCGGACTTGGTAGTCTGGCCTAACCCAGATCCCAGAGCCTGACGGTGGCCTGGAGGGGCAACTGACTCCCGCATAGGCTGCCTCCTCCGCAGCTCCCTGGTGCGCAGTGGTGGGCGGAAAACCCTAGCCAGGACAATTTGATCAGGCTGTGGCTGACAGGCAGGGAAGCCAGGCCTCCTATGTAAGCTTGCATTTTATAAAGAACAGAAAATATGGGGAAGGGAAGCAACAAGAAAGGCTCCTCAGCCCCCAATTCTGAGAAACAGGCAATAGTGGACACCGCACCAATATACATTAAGCACCATATAGAGAGCCTCATAGACCAATTCAGGAGTGAAGTTATTAACGACCTGAAACTAGAAGTATGCAGAATAGATAGAGAAATGCTAACCACCACCCAGGAAAAAACAGATGGTGGAATGGAAGAACAGAAAAAGAGGGGAGAATTGCTTGATGGAGAAAACAGAGAAAGCATTGAATATGTGAAGCAGGTTCAAAGGGACTATCAAGAAATTAAGAAGTCAATCCAAGACTGGCATAACAGCTTGAAAGAAACTAAGGACAGACTATCTGAACTGGAGGCCAGACTTGTAATATGGGAGAATGAAATGAAAAACTTCTTAAAAATAACAAAGAAACAAACAGCAATAATACAAAGACAAGAAGATGATAAGAGGAGCCATAACTTAAGGATTAAGAACATAAAAAAAGAAGTAGGGACACAAACAAGTGAACTACAAAAGCTACTCACAGAAATAATCCAGGAGAATTTTCCTAATTTAGCAAAAGGTAAAGATACTCAGATGTATGAGGCATACAGGACCCCAGCTACCTACAACCCTAACAGAGAAACACCCAGGCATATAATAATAAAAATTCCAGAAATTCAATACAAGAACAGAATATTAAAAGCTGTTAGAGACAAGAAACAGACCACTTACAAGGGAACACCCATCAGAATTACAGCAGATTTCTCTGCACAAACCATCAAATCACGAAGAGCATGGGGGGAAATAATTCAAGCTTTGAAAGATAATAATTTCCAGCCAAGATTGAGATATCCTGCACAACTGTCCCTGGAAATTGATGGAAAAACGAAGTGCTTCCAGGATAAAGAGGAACTGGGGGAATTTGCAACCACCAATTTAACCCTACAGAAAGTATTGCAGGATATTCTAAAAAAAGAAAAATACAAAGAACCCAGAAATAGTGGCGGGGAGGCCACAATGAATGGAGCAGAGAACAAAATGAAGAAGACAAACTGATCGCTACTGACAGAAAAAGAGCTCAACAGAAATGAGACAGAGAAGATTGGATAATAGGAACAGCTATTTTGGAGAAAATGACATCCTAATAGGTAATACTGATTTAGTACCATCTAGTTTTGAAGTCTCATCTAGCTTTTGTTCTTCTGTCTCCAATGGTCTAAACAAGTTGTATCTTATTGGATTTTATTATGTACGATAGTATAAGCAAAAACCTTTTAAAGACAAGGAGATTATACAGAAACCATTGTTCATTTTCTGTTAGTCGATTCTAAATACTCTATAATGCTGGCATTCTCTTAAATGGTTTTACATTGTTTTGATATACTTAATGCTACAGTATATGAAGTTGTACTCAAGGACTTCAAGTAAAGAGTCAATATGGTAATTACTTTTGGGTTGGAATTATCTGGTGGTGAAACACTATTCTGCTTAAATGGTTATGTTTTGATTTGCCCTGTTTCGCTGTTATGCCCTCTTTTTTCTCAATTTCCACTCCATTATTTACTTTTTTATTTTTATCCATTTAATTAAAGGGAAAAAATAGCAGGATATAATATAGTAACCCACTTTGACTTTCTATTATCTCGATTTGAAGCCCTGTATTACTCTCACCATCTTGTTTTTGACTGAGGTTCCTCTATTCTGTTTTGCTGAATAGTATCAGGTTCGAAAGTTTAGGCATCAGCTGAGAAGATAATGAGATTCATTATAACGCCCATTCTCGTTGACTTTTGTCTACTTTTGAAGACCTACAATGTCTCCAATGTTTTGGTTTTGTCGGTTTTGTTCTTTACTGTTTTGTTCAATTGTATTACAACTAATGATATAGGCAATTCTATTAGAGATAGCGGGAGGCATTATGGTAACCATTGTTGATCACCTTGTATTATGTTTTTATATTATCTATTATGTCCACCCTTTTGACTTGACCGATTCTGTTCTGTTATGTCACATTTGGTTTTACTCTCTTCGAAAAAAGCAATAAGAACCGTGGGAGCAATGAAACCCAAAATGTGTAATAGTCATTGTACAAAAGAGAG